AATCTTCTAGAGGGCACATAACTCTGAAGTAATGAATCTGAAGTAATGAATTTAGGTAAAGGGGTGGTTTTGTAGGCAAACATTAATGCCTTGAATTTAATGCGAGCAGCTACTGGTAGCCAGTGCAAATTGATGAACAGAGGTGTGACATGCGTTCTTTTCGGCTCATTAAAGATTAATCTTGCAGCGGCATTTTGGATTAATTGTAGAGGTTTGATAGAAGTGGCTGGAAGACCTGCCAAGAGAGCATTGCAATAGTCCAGCCTGGATAGAACAAGAGCTTGAACAAGGAGTTGTGTTGCATGTTCTGAAAGAAAGGGCCTGATCTTCCTAATGTTGTATAAAGCAAATATGCAGGAACGGGCAGTTTTAGCAATGTGGTCTGAGAAATTCAGCTTAACATCAATCACAACTCCAAGGTTTCTAGATGTTTATGAAGGAGTTATGTTTGATGAGCCTAACTGGAATAAAAATAGAAAATAATGAACAAAATATGAACTATATTCAAATATAACTAATATGATATATCATATTCAAATATGATAACCCCAGTTATCATAGAAGTACATTTGCACATACAGTAGTCAGAGTCAAGTGCGCATCACAGATCGAGTGACAATGTCAATACAATTTCAAGATTCCTAATCATGATTTTGAGTGTGGCCACTGGAGTCGCCAAATCACACACTACTAAAAGTGTACATCCACTTGGCTCACAGTGTGTGTGAGGTGCACACAATTTCTGTTGCATTCTTTTTTTAAATCCTATTGTGTACATAGGAAAAGCCATACACACCGAATTTGCACATTTATGTGTGAAGACAAGTTAAGTACATTTATAAGAAAACACTATGAATATTTGTATTATCTATCTATGTGCACAGGTTATAGCACTCAGCGCCATCTCTAGAGGGCTGTAGATCTTCAGCACTGTTATTCTCTCTGAATTGACAGCAGAACATTTGATTTGGATCATGGATGGATTTAAATTCCATAACAGTGAGACACTATTCTCCTTAAGAATTACATACCTTTTCTTTCTTTTCAGTAGGCCTATTCTTTGTCAGTGTGTTGGTTTACATCCTAGTTCATAAAATCCTTTGACTTTTTGCAATTATATGAGTTTAAATACTACATTTACTGTC